ATACTGCTTTCTGAGTGACGGTACCAAATACTGTGTTAACACTCACTCGTGAGATAGTCTCACATATGATCTCTTGTAAAATAGCTATTTCGGCCATTTCTGAAGTAAGATGTACCATGTAGATCATTCTTTACGCGTGATTGTAGGCTGTTTACATAATTTATAGAAATATTGTTGACACAATAATAAAATCCTTTACTGAAAAAAATAAAAAAAGTATTTTTAATGGAGATATTGTACTTAGCACCCTTGTATGATATACAAATATCTGTAAGATGATTACGTACATTCACCCCGACCAGGCCGTGACCTTCAGTGCCTGTCGGCCGACGGCAATACACAACAGTTAAGTTCGAACTCTTTGATTTCGTTTGTATTGTAGAAGATATAAAACATCTCATAAAATTATCTTTTTATGTTTTACCCAAGTAAATTCTTTAATTAGGATTTGATTTTAGTAGTACTATTTAAAAGGAATAGTATAAAAAGATCTTTATGCCATACTTTTATAATGAAGTAAAGAAAAAGAAAACATTTTTAATACTCTATTCATTTTAAAAACAATACCTTAGTAAAACAAAACAAAGCTGCTACTAAGTTCTTTGAACGTGCACCAATAAAATAGTAACGTAATATTACGTTGAACAAAGTGTTGAAAATTGTAAATAAGATTTTCCTACTATTTATATTTTAAAATATTACCTTTACCATTTCCAACGTTAATTGATGACTTTATTTTAAAATCTATCTGAACGAGAATTGTGATAAGTATATTTCGTTTATGATTTTGTTTACAGATTCTGAAACAATATTACCAATGATGTACTCTACGCACATCCGTATTAATATTATAAATGTGAGTTTGTAAGTATGGATGCTTGTTACTCTTTTACGCCAGAACGGCTGAACGAATCTGGATGTCTGGCACAGAGATAGATTATAGTCTGGAATAACACATAGGCAACTTTTTATTCTGGAAAAACTTACGGTTCCCGTTGGATAGGTTTGTTTTAATTTTCCTAGAGGCGAACCAGAGCGAAGCAAGGGTGAGTCGCTAGTTGAATATGATATACACGTATTATTTTATTTTCATTACATTTTAAATAGAAACAAAATAGTTTTAATATTAATTAATTATCGAATAATATTTATAATATCCATATTATTTATTTGTGAAGTTATATTTCTTTTGGCGCGTTATGAAAAAAAATATGAGTGTTTTTTTTATGATGGGACAGATTTAGACTACAGTTTGAAGTTAGTCGTTAAACGTCCCTTAAGTATGGTATGAAGTCTATATTCAAGATATTTATTCCGATATTCCTGTCATCAGAACACGTGTTTTATATCGATAAAATAAAAATTATTAGGTACAATGTTTTATTTAGTTTCACCAGTTCCGGTGTCTTGTCTGTAATCAAACCTTGTAAGTTAAATTTGACGAACTTTCCATTGTTCCATGGAGCTGAAATTTGGTACACATGTTTGTTTCTTTTGACTGCATGACTACCTAAATGCTGCAATTTTTAATAATATATGGCGGACGTTACAAAATGATGATTTATCATTTCTATAGTCCCATCCCATCCATATGATATATGGATATCAAATGAGAGCTTGATGAGCAACACATTAAGCAAAGTGATATTATTGTAAATCCAATATGGAGGATTCCCAAAAGATAGCGGACTGTTTTTTTTATGCACTCACATGATATGGATATTAAATGAAAGAGTTTGCTGAAAAAAAAAGTAAAAAATATTAAAAAAAGTTACTTTCATTTAAATGCCCAAAAAAAACAAACAACTATTACTTCTATGTTACGTGCGTACATAAGTACACGCACACTTTTTTTAATAGGAGCGTGCTATGTTATCGTTAGTCCTACACTAGAAATAATATGCTCTGCAAGATGAATAATATTTACAAACGACACAACTAACTTAAAAAAATAAATTTAAACTCAAACAACTCGTTTTTTCTTACTTGCAAGTTCAAAAAGACTGTTTCAAGTGTCTGTTATAGTTGTCATTGCTGTGAAGTTATACATGATTTTTCTTTGATTTCGGAATAATTTCTGTTCTTTACTTTATATCCCACACATTAAGTGTGTACTTACGGAGAACTTGAGCCACGTTACTGTTTAAATATCCAACTCCAATTTCACCGCCCAGTTTTACCCCTTTAGGGGCTGAAATTTGAACAACTCCAAAATAGATGTTTATTTAATTGTATTGAAGAATATTAATACCAAGTTTCAAATAATTCTGATCATAAACTATTTTTTCCCCATATAAACAGCACAGCCCCCTTTTAAGGGATGAATTTTGAAAAAATATAATAATATTTGTATCGTTTTATTTTTCATTTTAAAAATAAATACCACTTTCCGTGCATTAATTACATAGTTTCGTACAAACTTTAATCCCCCATTTTACCCCCTTGTGGGATTGAATTTCGAGAATACTAAAACACGTACTTATTTAATTGTATCGAAGAACATTAAAACCAAGTTTCAAGTAATTCTGATCATAAATAATTTTTGGCCCATATAAACTTTATTACCAAAAAAAAATAATTACAAATATATTTCTTATTTTTTATTTTAAAGCTAAATACCACATTGCATGTATTTCACATTAAAAATGACAGTTTCATGCAAACTTTAATCCCCTATTTTAACCACTTATTGGGCGAACTTCGAAAAATTCTTTCTTAGAGGATGCCTTCATTATATGGTACCTTGTATAAATACGTCCTCCAAATTTCACGTTTCTACAACCAGTGGCTTAGGCTGTGCATTGATCGATCAGTCAGTCAGTCAGGACAAAGCATTTTATTTTATATATAGATTAAAATGTTTTTAAATTTTCAACTTATGTTTTCTGTATAATATGTTCCCGATAATTTTTTTTTTATACTATTCCGAATTAGTGCTTGACTACGTTCCACCTGATGGTAAGTGGTAACGCAGTCGTAGATGGTAAGTCGCACTAATTCAGTAGCCACCTATTCACTCTTGCCTTGAAGACACCCATATTATAATCGGACGGAAACACCGACGCAGGCAGGTTGTTCCAATCCTTAGCCGTACGTATAATAAATGACGTAGCGAAACGCTAAACGTTAACGTTACAAATCGTCGTTGATACTGCAATATCGCGTAACCAACAGTGGCTAAAACCGCGTAACTTGGTAGTGATAAATTTTACAGTAGAGAGAAAAAACTTAATATTTTCATTATTACTGCATCTTTGGCCGACTGAACTGTAAAATGTATTTAAATTTATGTATTTTATTTTCTATTAGGGTTTTTAAGTTGTTAAATTCACTATTCGATTAAAAAATACACTTTCTTGGTATTGCATGTTCAAAAATGGGTCGCAGTTGAGCATTTTTAGTAGTTACGCGTAATTACAAAAAGCATGAAAATAAAAATTTTGTATTTTAAGAATCATTTATTACTTAAGTTTACTTAATTGAATAATAATTATTATATCTCAGAAAATCAGTCTCAAAATGTCAATCGTTTTGACTACAATTTTACTAACTTAAAAAGTAGAACAAGTAAAACAAACATACAAATAAACTGTAGAAACAAAAATCAAAAACTTAAATTATTAAACTCCAGAAACAAAAATTAAACTATATCAAAATCCAGTAACATCAATTATAATAGGAACTTCAATATAAACGAGATCTAATATTTTGAAATAGAAACTTGCTTATTTTTTTTTAAACGGTAAGCTATCATAATATTGGTGGCAGTCACTAGGAATCATACTCTTTAATTGCTGTAAATGCTTATATTTACTCTCTAATATTGACAATCTAGAAGAATAAAGAAATGGTACATCGTTTATCAATGTTGAAATATTCTTTGGTCTTCGAGGTAGTGGACTAAATTCGTCTTCAAAATGTTTTTTAAAGTTGATAGTACCATTAGGATTATACTTTAATACGCGTAGATCTACTACACAGTTATCGCCAGAAATGCGCCCAGGCCTTATAGAGTCATAAATTTGGTACTCTTTGACGCTGTAGTCTTGGAAAAAGGTATGATCTGGTTGTATAACTTTATAAGGAAAAGGTTTTTTTCTGGCCTCTTTAGTTAAAGAAGCATACTGTGATGGCAAGAAAATTTCAATATTTTTGAGTTTTCTTTCAATAAGTGAATGGACCGAATCTACCTCCATTTGTGTATGTCCTTTTTCGAGGTATTTTTGTGTAATTGTAACATTTTTGTCCATTGCTAGTCTAAGAAGAGCGTTAGAAACAACAGTGTTTCTGTTTTGAGCAGTGCATCCGTCAGTCCATATAACTACATCTTTAAGATTTTCATTTAACAAGTTTGTCAGATAATCTACAAAAAACGAGGCATAGGTTGTAGCTTTTAGATCACAGGTTGTTTCATTAAACCAATAACACGTAACATCATCTGTACCTAGATTATAAATAGTGAAGTTATGTACCGCTAACTTGGTCTTAAAATATAGCGCACTAGCCGATAGAGAAGGACACAGTTTTACAGCTTGCAAATCAGCAGTTATGGTATGAACTTGCCCAAGTTTTGCAAGTTCTTTGTCTTTTATCTTTTCGGATCGAGCTAAGTGTTTCAGCTGGACGTGGCGGTGGTAATCTTCCTCCCGAACGTTACCTGCCTTGTATGAACAGCAATAGTCACAAGCATCTTTTTTAGGTTGAAACAAGGCGATATTTTGCTCCACAAGTATGTCAAAAAAGAGCTTTCTAGAAGCTACTAGCTTAGATGCTGAGGAGGCATATTCGACATATAAGTTATACAATTGTGACTTGGATTGTATAATAGGTTCCACGTATTGTTTTGTGCTTGTTTGGCGGCAATAATGTGACGGCAATTTGGGCAATAAGCTCAGGTAACTTTTTACAGAATTTCGTTTAGAAGTAGGCGATGTTGGAGACAAATTTGTGTGAACAGAATTATCATCTGCTCTTCCACATAGCCAGTAGCGAACAGTCTACTCCTTTATAGCTAGTGTCGCTAGAAATGTTTTCAAGCAAACTCTTTCCTTCTTACCATGTATTTGCAGGTAATATAATCTTGTTTCCGACCGTCTAGATTTACTTTCTGTCGTCTTCCTTTTTATATTTTCTGTGTCAACCATCGACCGTACATACATTTTTTTCTCTTTCCACGTCATGCTCCAGAAACGTTCAAAAATCTGTTGTCGTATGTCCTCAGTCAAATTGGAACAAAATAGAACTTTACTACGAGCACAAAATGACGAACTGCACTTAGGGCCCATAGCCCTCTGAGGTTTTGATCCTTCTTGAATATACTTATTATTAACTTTTCTAAACCCAACATATGCTTTTCCTAACATCCTATCTTTCTTGTTTAACTCTCTCCTCCAAGTTTTACGGTCAGCCTTTTGCTTTCGTTTTCTTGACTCTTTTGCTGCATCTCCCTCTAAATTTTGTTCCGGAAATGAATCAAAATCATCAGATACCATAGGCTCTACGTTGGTGATATCAGATAGCGGTACAAAGTCTGGATCGGCGATAGAATTATCAGGAGAGAAATCCATAACAGTTTCTTCGGTAACATCAGTATATGTTATGACAGGGTCATTAGAACAGCCGACAGTTTCTTCTGCAACGTCCGGTGAAACAGTGGCTGAAATGCTGGGATAAATAGGTTGAAAGATAGTCGTTAAGGTATCACAATTAGCTATATCATAATCAATATCTGAAGATACGCATATAGGTGAAGCTGGAAATTTAGGTTGAGATGAACCCAAAATTGTGGATAGATTTCGAGAAAGGGGTTTGTTTAAAATGTTTTGTCTTTTAAGAAGAAGTTCCTGGCGTCGTTTTTGAAGATCCTTTAATGTCACAACTTTTATGTTGGAATTAGAATCTATTTCTGGCTGCATCTGCAAGAGCTCTGCTTCGTTTGCATCCCATTTTTTTTCCATGATTATCTGAAAAAAAATTAGCCACTTATTTGAAACTTTTACATAAATATAATTTGATTTAGGTAAAATAAAAACTACATTCGTATTTAGTTATGTTGATTATATCTTTACCACATTAGTTCCATTAATTATTATTTTTTTAAATACTATTAATTTTAATGTCAACCCCGCGTAAGTACATAAAAAATAAAATACAGATAACGAAAATACCGCGTATCTACCGTCCAAATTTTACAGACGTTATTCTTAAATAATATTACAATCTTTAAAATACCAGTACTTTCAGTGAATAACTAACTTATTTATCAACCAAAAATTAACATTTACTTACCCGCAAGTCCAATATTTCTTCAAAATAACATTTATATTCACGAACCGCAAACAAAACGACCATTCGTTCTATAACATGTGGCGCAGGTACGCGGTATTAAAGTTACACTCTCGTGCGAGAGCTGCTCTCGCGGTTTTGGCTAGTGTCGTTTCTAGCGTTTTGAGTGGATAATTCGCTCACCTGACGACACGGGGCGAAGCCAATCACTATCAAGAGCATATATGCGCGAAATCTCAATTTTGATTTTTTTGTAGTTCCGCGGTATTGGCCACTGTTGGTTCCGCGGTATTGCAGTATCAACGACGAAATATAACATGTTTGATAATAATTTTAAATAACAATTTCTCAGCGGATGTTCAGTTAAAGAAGATACTTCGTTTTACTTTGTAGAAATATGATATTTTTGTTTCTTTGTAATATACCTAAAGTATTAAAATGAGTTTAATTTTATTCTTTGACTTAAATAGAAAAAAACTATAGTTTGTTAATAAGATGAATGTTGATGGTAATGATGAATAATACAAATAAGACATTCATTATATTCATGTACGTATGGGGTCTGAGAAACCCCACATGGATGTAACTTTTATTCATGTGATTCATGGAGGGTTATGGAAAAAGGACTTTTCTAATAATATATTACATAATTATATAATTTATAGGCGAAATCTCGTGTATGCAATTATTTCGTATATATCGGGAACAATTTCTGTTGTATGTACTGATACTGCGATCAATTTCCAATCTACCGATATTGAAGGAGCTTATGATACCTATAGTATATAAATAAGGGATCTATAGTAAAATACCTGGAACGGCGCTTTATATTTACTGAAAACGTGCATTTTATGTAGAACGGTAGGAAAATTCTCACCATAATTATTTAACGTTCTAATATTATAAACATAGAGAGAATTTATTAAAGTGAAAACGTACTTAAACCTTCCAGAAATGTGTTATTGGAATGGATTCGGAGAACATAGTGTAGTTGTTTTGATGTACCAAAGTTTATTTATTGGTTTATTTATATTGTTTAGAATTACGTGAAAAGCTTAGCTGACATCACAAAATCTTCTTCAAATATTAACTCGTGTATACATTAACTCACTGTACCTTCAAATCATATAAAATTAACGTAAAATTAAATACATATAATAGATTCCCTGAGAAATCTGTACATCAAATATTTTATGGAAAATCTTATTGAAATAATCATTATTATCAATAGAGACGCCGAATATATCGTTAGTATAGTATAGTTTTAAGAATTTTTGTCTGTCTGGGAATGCATCACGAGCAAACTACTGGACGGAATATGATGGATATATTTGGTTTAGTGATAGTTGGTTATCCGAATGAACATATAGGATACTTTTTATTGCGGAAAAATACCTCATCTCGGAGAAAACAAATACTAAAACTGGTTATAATAAAATCAAGCTAAAACTATAATAGTTTTAGTAAGGTAGCTCACAACATAGGCAAAAAAAAAAATAATTATAAATAGCTTCTCTTAAAAAAACAATATCATTAGACATATTTTATACATAAAATAACTTGATAAATATCGAGTTACTTGTAATTTAGAAAATAATCACTAGGTGTCGCCATGTGTTTTTAAAATACGTAATTTTAATTCGAAAAGAAATTATGTACAGATACGACCTTTCTATGATTTTATTAGAATTACTAGCATTATCCGCGTCTCAACCCGTGTTTATCAAATAAAAATATTTGTAAATTTGCTACTATTTAGTAAATAATGCTAATATTTGTAAATATATAAATATAAAAAAATTACATATTTAAAAAAATGTAAATTTTTTAAAATGTCACTTTTTAATTTGTAATATTTATAATAATAACAACTATAATTTAATAAATAATATTTCTATATTTAATTACAATACTTATAATTTTTTTTTAAATGTTTAGAAATTAAAATCAACAAATATTGTAAGGAACTTTATTGGCATTTTTGAATTTTTGAAATTATTTTTGTAAAATAGTGGGTAGGCACTGTCTGTAACAAGTATGTGTTTGAGACGTCTCTAACGTTAGTCTCTCCCGTGACCATGATTGCTGTAAAGCATTCGAAACGTCGGGAACCAAAAATCAAAATAAATCTGCCAAATAATCCGAAGTAATAGTTTTATTTAAAATGTTTGTCTCGTTTTCGTGTCGCATTTCAGTTTCATCGAGTTTCAAATCACAACGATTCTAAAGAAGTTTTACTTCAAAAATCATGCAAGTGCCGTTCCCATTCGCACATCAACGGTTCCGTTTAGCCAAATACTGTTTTATTTTCACTTATTATATATATAATGTAAAAATAGACGTATTTTTTGGTCAACTTTGCACTAAATTTCCGATCCATTTTTTTTTATTTTATAACGTTAAGGATCACTTACTTAGTATAAAATCACAAAATGCTGACAGATTCCGTTGGAGTTTCAGGCGTAATCTTGAAAAAACGTTTTTTGTCGATATCTCGGAAACTATGCACTTTAGGGCAAATGTTATTGAAACTAATTTTGTACAGAATAAAATTTCGCATATTTTGTTTCCTGATTTTTTTTTTGTAAAACTTACCGTTTACGATTTATGGATATTTAATAAACCGGTTCTTCTATCTCGGCCGACACAAACACCTAAAATATTGCTTTAATCAATAAAATGCATCTATTCATTTTTAAAGATCCATTTATTCTCTACTTTTGCTTAAAACTTTTTTTTCTAATGTCCATACTTTTTGAGCTATAGGATGTTCAATGTTGGACCACCGGGCATAAGGTCGAAAATTTCAAGTTTTTTTTAGTAATTGGTAAAAAAATGATAAAAAATTAGTTAATGGTAAAAATTTACTAAATAAATTGAAAAAAATATCCTGATTGTTTATCGGGGGGCACGGCAGTGCCCCCGCCAAGTCGAGCAAAAAAGGGCACGGCAGTACCATCCTTTTCTCGAAGGGATTCAGAGCATTTTCCACCCCCCCATAACTTCGTTATTCATAAAGCTAGAAGCTTGAAGTTTGAGTGACTAAGAGAACATAATAAAACTAGGTACATTTCCAAATTACATTCAATTTGAACCAGTAGTTTATGAACTGTTGCAGATCAAAATTCGTTAATATCGTCACTCACTCACTCACCGATCATCAAAATTCTAAGGTACTTCTAGCAGACATAGAAGCTTCAAATTTTGAACACAATTCGTGTTTACTCTATAACCCAAGGAAAAATTCAAACATCACGCAATTTCAATCCTGTTTTCGAGATATACTACAAACTGCATCAGTAACTTTGTAATCCTATACAAATAGATATGCGATATATGGGATTACAAAGTTACTTGTGCAGTTCATACATATAATTGTCGTCACTTGCAATGTAAAAGGAGGTTAGGTTAGTGTTTAACCTGTATGTATGTTTGTATGTTCGATCCTATGTTCCCTCGTAATTACTAACCTAATCACGATTCGTCTATTTATTTATTAATGTGGATATTGCAACTATTGTATACATTAGAAAAATATTATTCAAATGTGAAAATATTATTTCAAGCGTTTTCAGTAGCTGTATACATTTTTATGCATATACAAATGGGTACATAAATACAACGTGAAGCGTGTATAGTGTATCACCAACTAATATTCGATTACGTGTTATTTATAATGAATTTATTAAAATATATACCTAATTACGACAAAACTTGACGATTACTTAATTTTTGACGACACGTTTGGCTCAGTTTGTAGTGGCCTGGCCCTACTTTCTGTGCCGGCGGTCGCGGGTTCGAGTCCCGCTGGGGGCATTCATTTGTGTGATGACTAAAGTTTGTACTCCAGTCATGGGTGTTTATATTTATAATATGTATGTATTTAAAGTTATATATGTGTAGTGTATCATCTATCTAGTATCCATAACACAAGCCTCGTAGCTTACCATGGAACTAGATGGTTCTGTGTGTTACTGTCCCAACATATTTTGAAACAAAGCTCGTATATTTTCTTTTATAAAGTATGATGTTGATTTGAATTAGAAAATTTGATAACATTTCATAGCTCGTAACTGTACACACCTAATAGAACATGGAATATAGAGGTCATGAAATATCAATCTCTTCGAAAATTACTTTTAAAATGGCCAATGGAATCAGTGAATGAAGTGAGTTGGCAACCTCACTTTTCTATTAAACTGCATCAAAATTGACTGAACAAGCAATAATAATTAAGTATAACAACCTTCGGGACTTACCTACGATGCCGCAGATAGACACATAAATCTACACGTTTTATTAAACTTACGTAAGTTCAATATCAGTATCGGGGTAGGTATTTAGGGTCAACAATGAAATTAAAATATTCATTAAATTAACTATACATATTTATACTTAATGCATAAGATAGTAGTAATGAAGCCCAGGAATCTGCAATTTCCGAATACAATAGACTTAGATTTTTTATCATCCAGACTTGTCAAAATTTGTTATATCAAAGCCTCTGAAAAAAGCCCACAGAGACAGGGAGTGGGCTTTTAAGAAGTCCTTAGCTGACACACAAGAAATAGTACAAGAAAAGGGAAAAAGAAGAAATATTTACAAAAAGAAATGAGATCCCATCAAAAACATACTGTAAAAATATTGCAAGTCTCGCAACGCATCTCTCTACCGCAAAAAGCTATGAGATATAATGTAAAACCAAGTCGGTTTATTTATTCATTACCTATCTATGGAAGCATCTATCCGACAACTTTGTCATAAATCGTTACCGAATTAGTTAAGTTACAACATTTTATAGTGACCGTATTAATATTAGATATATTTATTTCTTTAATTAATAGAATGACTTGGCCATCGCACAAGATAATAGAACTTACAAATAACAAAATTTACCTAATATTAGCGTTCTGAGTGCATTATTTATGTATTGTTAGTGTATGCATCAATTTGACCCGCTAGTACTATGTTCCGTTCATTTCAGCCCAAACACGTCCACAGCTGGGCATAGGCCTCCCCCAAAAATTTCCACGACAACCAGTCTTGTGCCATCCGCATCCAGTGGG